TTGGGGCCCCTGATTGGGGGCCCCCCGGGCCCTGGGGGCCCCCCTGGGGGGCCCCCTGGGGGGCCCCCCCCTATGTCCTCGTTGGTGGGGGCCCCCGAGGCCCTTCTACGCTCAGCGGGGGCCCTGCTGCCTATAATGTATTTGTGTTTGCGTATAAAAATACCCAGTATTCCCTCTTTTGCTTCTTTTTGTAGTGTCTCCTCGTCGCTGAGCTCATCATACACCGTAGGAGAAGTGTCTCCGTCTGCATAGAAAACGGAGACAGGTAGAACCCCTTCTTCTATGTTATCTGTCTCCTCATCTCCTGTCTCCTCTTCTCCTGTCTCCTTTTTGTCTCCTCTGTCTCCTTCTCTGTCTCCTCTCTCTACATCTGTCTCCTCTTCTCCTGTCTCCTTTTTGTCTCCTCTTCTCCTGTCTCCTTCTCTGTCTCCTCTCTCTCTTCTCTCTGCACCTGTCTCCTCTTCTCCTGTCTCCTCCTCCCCCAACACAAACGCCCCCCAATCCTCCTGGCTCCACCCCCTGGTGAGGGTCTCCCAAGCAGGGCTGTTGACGGCTATATATTCTTTTCCTTTACTTGTTTCGCTGTCTCCTGTTCCCTCTGGGGGCCCCAGAAGAGAAACTCGTACCCTGAGAAGAAGACACACTGTCTCCTCCCCCGTGCCGTCTCCTTCTCCTCGCTCTCCTCCCCAGCAAAACAGCAAGGGCCCCTAATACAGTTAGGGGGGCCCCCTGAGGGGCCTCGTGGGGGGCCCCCCTCTGACCCTTACTGCTGCCCGCGGTATCCTTAGATATCACCTCAGCAGCCACAGGGGTCGAGCTGGGTGTATGTGTGCTCTTCTTGACTACCCCGGGGGGCCCCCCTGAACCAGGGGGCCCCCCTGTACCTGAAGGGGGGCCCCCTGTACCTGGAGGAGGTGTTGGGGGGCCCCCCTTCGCTGCGGCTTTGGAGGGGCCCTCAACTTTGCTGCTAGGGGCCTTCTGTTGGGGGCCCCCTCCTATGGGTAAGGCCTTGCTAGGGGCCCCTTCAGAACCTGCGGAGACACCCTTGGGGGTTGTTGTTGCTGCTGCTGCTGTTGCTGCTGCTGCTGCTGCTGCTGCTGCTGCTGTCTCTGCGGGAGGAGAGACACCCTTAGGGGAGACAGCAGCACCAGGTGCCTGTGGGGGCCCCCTACCCACCATCACCACTTTAAATGCTGCTTGGGGCCCACTGGGGGGCCCCTTGGGGGGCCCCTTCCCCAACACAACCTGCGACCCAGCCGATAGCTTCTTGGCAATGAAGCCAGAGAGGGGGGCCCCCATGGGGGGCCCCTCCTTCATGCTGCTTCCTGCTGCTGCATCAGGTGCGGGCCTGGTGGGGGCCCCTGTCTCTTTAGCTTTAACAGCAGCGGAGACACTTTGGGGGGCCCCCGAGTCAGGGGGAGGGGACGGGGGCCCCCCATGTGTCTTAGCAGGGCCTTCTTTCTCAAGTGGGGGCCCCGGAGAAAGAGGGGGCCCCCCCTGTTTCTGCTGCTCTGCAGCAGGGCCTGGGGGGGCCCCCTTGATGTCGGTACCTTTTGGTACTGTCCCCTCCTTGGCTGTCTCCTCTTGCTTGGGGGCCCCTGACACAGGAGGGGCCCCCTTCGAGGGGCCACCACCTGCCCACGGAGGAGGTGGTGGTTTCTTCTTTACGCTGCGCTGCACAACACCTGCTGCGGGGGCCCCCCCGGGGGCCCCCTCTTTCTCTGTAGTGGTCTTCGGGGGGGGCTTTGTGGGGGGCCCCCCAACTACTTCAGCCTTCTGCATATCTGCATGCTTCGACAGAGCAGGGGGAGGGGGCCCCTTGGGGGCCTCAGAAGGGGGCCCCTTTGGGGTCTTAGCAGGGGGCCCCTGTACTTTAGAGGATTTCAGTGGGGGCCCCTTGGGGGCCCCTCCCCTGCTGCTCGGTGCATCGTCCTCTGTGTGTCCCTTAGGGGCCCCCTCACTGCTTCTCTCTGTCTCCTCCGATAGAGCCTCTACACTGCTGGGGGCCCCTGTAGACACCCCCTCCTTCGGGGGCCCCTTTGGGGGCCCCTTGGGGAGGCCCTTGGGGGGCCCCGTGGAGGTACCCTTTGGTGTTCCACTGGGAACCCCTTCGGGGGGCCCCTTGGGGGGCCCCTTGGTGGGCCCCTTGGAGAGCCCCTGGGGGGGCCCTTTGGGGGGCCCCTTGGAGGGCCCCTCGGGGGGCCCCTTTGGGGTTTCCTTGGGAGGAGGCCCCTTTGGGGGCCCCTTTGGGGGCCCCTTGGGGGGCCCGTCGGGTGGGTCCTTCGAGTCTGTTTTCTCCTTTTTGTCTAGGGGCCCCTGGCTAGGTGTCTGCGCTTGAGGGGGCCCTGGTGAGGGTTTGTCTCCCGGAGACAGTTTAACAGGGGCCCCCTTAATGGGTACTTCCTTGGGGGCCCCCTCACATGCACCTCCCTTGGGGGGCCCCTGAAGAGACACTTTGGGGGTTTGTACCCCCCGGGGAGACACCTCAGACGAGGACGAG